GTACTCTTAACACGGAAACACCCAACTTCTGGTTCCAACCTCACCGAGGAACCAACTGTTAACGTGCCAAAAGGCCTTATTTAAATGCACATACTCTGGCCCTGGCTGGTGTGGCTCAGTGGACAGAGTGTCGGCCTGTGGACTGAAGAGTCCCAGGTTCAATTCTAGTCAAGGGTGTATGACCAGTTGTGAGCCAATCCCCAGCAGGGGGCATGCAGGAGGCAGCCAATCAGTGATTTTCTGTCATCACTGATGTTTCTCTCTCTCTCTCTCCCCCTCCCCCTTCCTTGCTGAAATCAATAAAAACATATTAAAAAATAAATGAATAAATGCACATACTCTACAACTCAGGAACTCCACCTCTACGGTAACGATCAGAGGTACGGGTACTTATGTTTATCAGCACTGCTCTATCAAATACCTGCAACTAATCTAAATCCCTACTGGGGGAGGCACATTATATTGTTTGGTAAATTATGAATTATGGCCACCCACAGGATGGGATTCTATACAGCCTGAAGAAATGACTCTCTAGATCAGTTTAACACATCGTATGCAGGAAACGTATACGTTTTACATATTCATACGTTCTACCAGTGTAGTAGAGCGTGGGACACATATTAATACGTTTTTTTGTAGACTAGCGGTAGAATGTGGGTAACGTATAAATACGTAAACTAAAGTTTTCGTAATTTTACTGAACGTTGCCATTTGCGCAAAAAATTAGCAAAAATGGCCCGTGCCACCTGTTAGCGCGCGATAAAAACTACCCACAAACAATGTGTTAAAATACAGCATGATGCAGAAACACAATCCTATATAATAAAAGACTAACATGCAAATCGACCGAACGGCCGAAGGACTGGTTGCTATGACATGCACCGACCACCAAGGGGCAGACACTCAATACAGGAGCTGTCCCCTGGTAGTCGGTGTACTCCCCCAGGGGAAGTGCCACTCAGCCAGAAGCCGGGTTCACAGCTGGTGAGTGCAGCGGTGGTGGCGGGGGCCTAT